TTGTTGAGGACTTATTGTGCTAGGAAACAGCTGTGAACCGCATAGACAGGGATCCTGGTCTCAAAAAGCTTATAGTTAAGTGAGCAGGTGATGCCCCTAGGGCTCTGAGAAGGGCCTTGCAGGAAACTATGGGAGCCCTAGAAGTGGCACATGGTCCAGATTTTTGGGAGCCAAGAAGACTTCTTAGGGAAATAACATCCAAAACCAGAAAACTGAGGAGGCTAGTTTTCCTCTATTTTGACTTCAAAATACCTTATTTAAGGGTCTAAAGAAACGAGAAAAGGGTGGTATTCCTTATTTCCGCATGTGCATGGGCCCTTCAGTTTTTTCTAGATTCCCATCACCAGTGTAGTCTTCCAGGTCTAGCTCCATGTAGCTTTATTCCGTGCAGTTTGTTTCCAGGACCTTCCAGTATTCATTCAGTACTTTCTAAGCTGTGTGATGTGTTTCTGTTTTTGGGGTTTCACACCTTTTTGCCATTGCCCGTTGATATGAATGTATTCCAGTTATCTATTCCTGCAAAACAAATCACCCCCAAACTTAGTAGTTTAAAACAAGAATGGCATATTATTTCTCCTGATTGTGTGCGTTACAAGGCATTTCCTCTACTGGTTTCACCTGGGCTCATTCATATGCTTGCTGGAGGGTCAGCTGAGCTGGAAGGTCCAGGATGGCCTCGTTCACTTGTCTGAGAGTTGGTGCTGGCTGTTGTCTGAGCATCTTAGTTCTCCTCCATGTGGCTTCTTCACTTCCAGTAGGCTAGACTTGCTTCCTTACATGGCGGTCTCAGTATGGCATTCCAAGGGGATAAAGGCGGAAGTCGCAAGGTCTCTGAAAGCTTTGCCTTGGAAGTCACATAATGTCATTTCTGCTACATTTAGTTGGTCAATGCAAGTCACAAAGGCAGCCCAAGTTCAAGGGAAGGGAACGTAGATTCAACTTCTTGATGAGAGAAAGAGTGAAGTCACATTGAAAAGAAGCATGAGAGGAGCTGTTGTGGCCATCTTTGCACATAATTGCCTATAGAATGTCCGTATGATTCTGTCACTTGTGTTCATGTATATGTAGCAGTTGTCCTTTCCACTTCTAAGAAGGCCCTGGTCATTATTATATTAAATATAATTCTTATCATACCAACCAGCTGTTACCCTGGAAATCAGCCTATTAAGTAGCTATTTCTAAGGATGGATTAAAGTGCAAAAGAGGATTGACTTGGGGAAAGGTCTAAATAAGAAGATTGTAAAATGCGAGTTCTGTTCCGTGCCAAATAAGAAGGTTTTTAATGAGTTCTGTTATATGCTAATAGCTTGTGTGAGTATTCTTAATCGCTTCTCGAGCTTTTGGTTAAGATCAACTGTAGCATCTTTTCTTACCAGTTTAATATAAATACTCTTAAGGTAAAAGCATACATTTATAATATATATACTTAGAACTTTTTTCCCCCTAAGATTTTTAATGATAACAGCAATCTAGTGAAAGAAGTGGGATAGGCATTATCTTCCTCGTTTCATATGAGTTTGGGAGACACTAAAGCAGTGAGACTTGTGATTAGTTTGTGGCAGAGCTGTGTTTGGGTCCCAGGTCTCCTACTTCCCAATTTGGCTTCCAAACAGTAGAGCTCTGAAGATGCTGCTGGGAAGAGTGGAGGGATCTTGAAGGAATCTTCCTTTTCATCAGTTCATAGCTATTAGGCACAGATTCATCCTGCCCTGATGCCGGCACAATGATTAGTTTGGTATAACATCTTGTATATACATTGTCTTTTGTATTATAAAGTTGTTTCACTCACACACACATATGATTCTCACAACAGCTGGGTGAAGATATCGTTATACTCTTGAGCAAAAGGAGGCTGAAAAAAAAGAAAAGTGGCCTGCTTTGCATCTCACAACTACTAAGTGACCCATTCCGAATAAACTTAAGTCTTCAAATTCCTAGTGCTCTGTTCTTTCCACAGCAGGATTGGGCTTTAAGTCTGAAAGCATTGAAAATGAACATCATGAATGGACATTCCGGTACACAAGTTCAATTACCTCCAAATGAAATGATTTATAAATATGTATAAAGTGCTTGTTTGCATGACCTTGAGCAAGTTTCCTCCCCACGACACTGAATGCTATCATTCACTTTTTCTCATTTCGATGAGAATAACATTTTTCTCATGTGGATGAAAAGGAGTTGGATTACAATGATTTCTAAGATTTCTTCCTGCTCTAGAATGAAATGGTACAATTTACGTTGCATACTATTGTTAGTTTGAGAAGAAATGGAGGTTTTTAAAAGAGAGAGATAAACTTCCAAGTAGAAGACAGGAACTTATCAGGAATAGTTTTAAAGGAAGATGACACAATGATTGTGGCATTGTTATGAGGTTCCTTTTTTTTTTTTTGTGAGGGGGACTAGCCCTGAGCTAACGTCTGATGCCAATCCTCCCCTTTTTTCCTTGAGGAAGATTGGCCTTGTGCTAACATCCGTGCTCATCTTGCTCTGCTTTATGTGGGACACCGCCACAGCATGGCTTAACAAGCGGTGCGTCAGTGCGCGCCTGGGATCCAAACCTGTGAACCCTGGGCCGCCAAAGCGGAGCGCTTGCACTTAACTGCTGTACCACGGGGCTGGCCCCAGAGGTTCCATTTTTCATTGAACAAAGTTTTTTTTTTTAAACAGTTTTATTTATTTATTTGTTTGTTTGTTTGTTTGTTTGTGAGGAAGATCAGCCCTGAGCTAACATCCATGCCAATCCTCCTCTTTTTGCTGAGGAAGACTGGCTCTGAGCTAACATCTATTGCCAATCCTTCTCCTTTTTTTTTCCCCCAAAGCCCCAGTAGATAGTTGTATGTCATAGTTGCACATCCTTCTAGCTGCTGTATGTGGGACGTGGCCTCGGGTTGGCCGGAGAAGCGGTGCATCAGTGCGCGCCCGGGATCTGAACCTGGGCCACCAGTAGCGGAGCACGCGCGCTTAACCACTAAGCCACGGGGCTGGCCCCTGAACAAAGTTTTATGGACAAACACGGACTCTACCCTGGTGGAGATTATGATTGAGTAGGGGAGGTAGTCTTTAATCTGATAATCACAAAAACTGTTCAGGAACTAATGATATGGCCTAATAGAAACCTGACACTAACTGAGATACAAAGGATATGAAGTTAAGTAGGCTTTTGAGGAGTGGAGGAGTAGTGGGGGGAAGTGAAGGAGAGCATTCCAGCTGTGGGAATGACATATTCACCGGCCCTGTGGTAGATGGAGCATGATATGTTTGAGAAACTGAAAGAAGACCAGTGCCTTTGGAGCAGACAGAAGTCAGAGGTGAGAATGGTCCTAAGGAGGCAGGGGGCAGTGTGCATGCATTGTGGGCCATATAAAGGATTTTGGTCTTTAGCCTAGAAGCAATGAAAAGCCACTGAAGTGTATTTTTCAACAAGGGCAGGACATTCATTATCAGGTTTGAATTTTAAAAAGATCATTTTACTTGCTGTGTCTGGACTTAAGTGCTTGAGGTTGGGTTGAATGGGTACATAGTACCCGCTGGATGGCTTGGGTTGAGGTTGCGTTGAGTGGGTACGTGGTACAGTCCAATTAAGAAACCACCACAATTATCTAGGTTAAAGATGTTGGTATTTTGGACTATGATGGTGGCGACGCCAGAGATGAGAAGACCTAGACACATATGAGAGTGATTTGGGAGGTAACATTCACAGTTCATGCTGATTGACTGGGCAGGGGGTTGAGGAAGATGGAGGCATCAAGGATGATGCCTTGTTTCCTGGCTGGAAGGTGGAAGCACTCATAGGTACAGGGCCAGGCTTGTGGAGAAGAACAAGAGTTCAATTTTGAGCTTGTTGATTTTGAGATGTCTTTGAGATGTCCATGTGGATTCAAAGGTCTGGAGTTGGGAATATAGGCCTGGTTTAGGGAAGTATTTGGGGAACCGAATCTCAAGGGATTCCAGCCTTTAAAGTCCAGGGAAGTGAGGAAGAGCCAACACAAAGGTAACCTTGAAAGAGTTAGGGAACAGTGTGATGTCCCTCTAGTTGAAGGGAGTGGTCCGTAGCATCTAATGCTATCAGTGTCAACCAAAATGAAGACTTACCAAATGCCAATCATATGTAGATGCACGGGAACTATTATGGTCCCAGTGGGAGCTATTTTGGAGTGTAGTGAGAACAGAAACTAGAGGAGTTGGAGAATGCTTGGGAAGGTAGGTGTGAGAAACAGGCTATGTGGGGTTGGGGGATTGTAAAGGAGTGACTTACGTAGTTGTCTTAGTCATTTCTGGCTGCTTTAACAAAAATACCGTAGACTGGATGGCTTAAACAATAAACATTTATTTCTTATAGTCTGGAGGCTGGGAAGTCCAAGATCAAGGCGCCAGCAGATGTGGTGTCTGTTGAGAGCTCTGTTCTTGGTTTGCAGACAGTCATCTCACTGTATCTTCACAGAGAGAGAGAGGAAGCAAACTCTCTTGTGTCTCTTCTTGTAAGGGCAGTAATTCATGGGGGCTCCACCCTCAGGAAATAATCACCTCCCAAAGGACCCATCTCCAAATACTATATCCCATTGGGCAGTAGCATTTCAATATGTGAATTTCCGGAGGACACAAACCTTCGGTCCATAGCAGTAGTCTTCTTCTTAGCATAATGATTTGGGAAATGGAATAATAGTTTCAGGAAAGAAATGCCAGCCTTTTTAGAAAGGTAGGGTCGGACTTGGCCAGTAACTTGCAACTCTTTTCCAAGATGGCTAAACTGAATGCAGTCTGCTAATGCAAATGTTTTAAATTGAATCTTGAGTTTTTTTCTAATTACCAGGAAAATACATCTTGTTCACTTCTGAAGCAGATCCTTCTCTTAGAAATCACATTGGGGCAGCACACGACAGCCACATCTGTCTGTCTGACAACTTTGCTGCGATACTTCACAGAAGCCTAGGATGTAGAATTTCAAATGAGCTACTTTCCTTTTGTGTAAGTCTTTTTTTTCTTCCCTTTCTTCCTCCCAGGCTGATGAGCCCTGAAAACACACTCCTGCAGCCCAGGGAAGAGGAAGGGATCAAGTATGAGCGCACCTTCATGGCATCTGAATTCCTGGATTGGCTGGTTCAGGAAGGTGAGGCCACCACAAGGAAAGAGGCAGAGCAGCTTTGCCTCCGGCTTATGGAGCATGGCATCATACAGCACGGTGAGTGTATGGGTCAGCTTTGGCGGTGGTAACAAACAACTCTAAATCTGGTGGCTTACAACAACAGGCATTTATTTCTCACTCATGGGTCTACAAGTCAACTCTGCATATGATTGAGCTCAGTTTGGCTTGTCTCCAAGTTGGAGGTCAAGTTCAGGTATGTGTTCTGTGCCTTCTCATTCTGGCACCCAGGCTAAAGGAACCTCGACTCTCTGGGATATAGTGTTTTTACAGACGAGGGCAGAAGCTTAAGAGTGCAGGCAGATTATTGTAGTATCTCCAAAAATTTCTGTTTGAGTATGATTTAACATCACAACTGCCATATCCAACTGGCTACAGCAAGTCATCTAGTCAAGTCTGGATAGGAAGTAGATGCCTCTCACAAAGTTGTTTGCAAGGGGAGAATGAAAATTTGCCAAACCATAGTAGAAGCTGCCACAGTGAAGAGGTAATCCAAAAGGACTTCATAAAACTTTCACTTTCCTTTTAGGGCTGAATCGTAATGATGCAATATAACCTATTGGTTAAGGACTATTATTGGTTATCTATTGCTGCTTAAGAAATTGCCCTGAAACTTAATGGTGTAAAACAATAATAAATGTTTATTCTCTCACACAGGTTCCCTGGGTCAGGAATTTGAGAGAGGCTTATCTGGGTGGTTGTAGCTTGGGGTCTTTCTTGAGGTTGCGGTCAAGATGTCATCTGAGGCTACAGTCATCTGAAGGCTTGACAGGCTGGAGGATTTGCTCCCACAGTGGCTTACTTGTATGCCTAACAAATTGGTGCTGACTATTGGTAGGAAGCTTCATTCCAGTGCTGTATGGACTTCTTCGTAAGCCTCCTTGAGAATTCTTATAACAAGGCAACCTAGTTTCTTCCAGAAAGAGTGATCCAAGAGAGTGTAAAACAGAAGCCACAATGTCTTCTAACTGAGCCTTGGAAGTCACATACTGTCATTTCCTTAATACTCTATTGGTTACCAGGTCAGCTCTTTTCAAGGGAGAGGACTACACTAGGGTGTGACGACCAGGAGGCAAGGATCACTGGAGCCATCTTGGGGGCTGGCTATCACAAGAACATGGGTTCTGGAATCCCAACTCCATCACTTGTTAGCTACTTACCTTCTCTCATTTGTAAAATGGGGATACCCTCATAGGGTGGGTTGTAGGAATAAGTGGAATAGATATAAAGCACTTGGTTCAATGTCCTGCTCTTAAAAAATGCGCAATTTATTAATATAGCTGCAAGGTGTAGGTTTAGAACAGTGAAGAAAGGTCTGGAAACCAGATCGGCATTTCAGCCTAAGGGTCAATATGAAAGGCGATGCTTGAGTCATTCTTGCTGTTAATTCCCCTACCCCCACTTCTATGCAGGCCTAGGATTTCTATCCCAAGGTTAGGAAGATAGCAATGGAATTATAGAGATAAAAGAAACTTTCAAAATTATTTGGCACAGTGTTTTACAAACTGTAGATTGCAATCCTTTAGTGGGTTATGAAATAAATTTAGAGAGCCATCTCCAGCATTAAAAAAGAATTTAAATAGACTAGACTAGACTCTTACTACTCAAAAGTATGGTCCGTGGAGCCAAAGTGTCACATGGAAAGCATGATAGAGATGCAGAATCTCTGATCCTACCCAAGTCCTGCTGAATCTGATCTACTTTTTAACATGATCCCCAAATGATTTGAATGCACATGAAAGTTTGAGAGGCACTGGACTGGATTTAACTAGAATAGAAAATATCAGAGCATATTTTATGTAGTAAGAGTAAGTATTGTTTTATAAAACTTTTTTTCAGTTAGGTGTACATTATGTAAATATATGGACATATTCATGTATGTATTGATTTGCAAGATAAAAATTACTTGTTACCGTGTGTTGGGGTCAAGTATTTTGAAAGCTGTTGATCTAGAGGCCTTGGTTAAAGTGGCACTCAAGCCATTCGGGGTGTTCCAGGGTTTTTCTCCTATGCAATGCTGCCACAATCAAATTCACAACTGTTTATTGATGGCTCCCTATGTGTACTGCTGGGCTAAGTTCAGGAAAGTATAGTGCCAATGTGGTCCCCAGCCTTAAACAGCTTATAGTCTTGTTAGGACTATAAAATGGATATAGAAGCAATTAGAGAACAGTAGAAGATAATACTGTATATTTTTTTAATTTGTTTATTTTATACTATGTGCCAGGCCCTATTCTAATCATTTTACACATATTAACTTATTTAAACCTCTTAAATTGTTTGAGGCAGATATCCTTTTGTTGTTGTTAAATTTTATTTTATTATGGTAAGAACACATAACATGAATTCTACCCTCTTAACAAATTTTCAAGTGTATAATATAGTATTCTTAACTATCGAGTAGGTATTCTTATCATCTCCATTTTATACACAAGGAACCCGAGGCACCAATAGGTTAAATAATTTTAGGCCACTTAGGTGGACATTTGCCAATAAGTGCGAACTTGGAGTTGGTTGGAGTGACTGAGGCTTTCCACATTGAAAAACGGTGTGTTTGGGTTAGAGTTGATTCTGTCATCTTTGCTCCAGACAGAAGGCGGCAGGTGATACCAAGTTCTAGGAGAAAACCAGCCTCTTCTACTATGATCTACTGCCTCATACTATACATCTCAGCTTCAGAGCGAAGATAGAGGATGCCATGAATTGTTTCCAAATGATTTCCAAAGAGTGTGTAATTATACTTCAATTACAGTACAGTTTGGTAATACTATAAACATAAATGCCATTAAGTCACAAAGTAAAGGGTAAAGTAAGGCATTATTGATAGCATATCTTAACCACTGAAGTTTGCTGTCCATGGTTTTAGGAGGATTGAATAGTCTATACACGGAAATTGGAGTTTCCAAGGAAGTTCCCGTTTCCCAGCACAGCAGTTCATTGCTAGATCACAAGTTCTAATCTGAGTTATGAAAATATAGCCACCTTATATGTGTATGTTAGAGTTAATAATAAATCCTAGTTAGTGTCTTAAGCAAAGCTCTGAACTGTTTAGCTAATAATTAATTTCACAGGTTAAATATTAAAGAAAGTCAGCCGTTAGGCTTTGAGCAGAAGGTTTCTGGATAAAGTGGTTCTCTAGGTTGAAACCAGTAGGCATCAAAAATTAGGCCCACTTATGAAATCCTAACTAGCTTCATTTATGAATGGTGACTGATGCTCTATAATCAAGACAGAACTTGTTAGATGAGTAATTAACCTGCAAACGTATATATGTGTATACATATATATACATGTAAGTATATATGTACATACTTATACAAATGTATGTATGTTGACCATGTATGTACATATTTGTCTAGCTTTTCATTTATCGAGGTTTACTGTGTGCCAGCCACTGGGCTAAATACTTCATAGATTTTAATATATTGTATATTTAATATGTACATGCTTCATATATATGACATAGTTTGTATACATAATCTTATTAAATCCTCACAGCAATTCTAGGACATTGGTATTATTATTATTACAGTTATACAGTGAAAAAATCTGAAGTTCAAAGCCTTTAAAATATTTTCCCAAAGTTGCATAGCTAGTCAGTAGCTACTAGGCACTGTACCTTAGAAAGAAGTTTGCCTTGGCCCAGGATGTATGTAATCAGGTGTGGCTGCCTGGCACAGTGGAATGAACATGGTCTTTGGAGGGAGACAAGACAGGATTTAGGTCCCAGCTCCTTCACCTACTGAGTGACCATGTCTACATCTCAATGCTTCCATTCCTTAGGTTTTTAAATTTATGGAATTAGAGTCATGTTATATATCTTTAAGATTTTTTTTTTGGAAGCCTATGATCACCCATACATACTAGAAGGACTCAACATATAGTGGGACTCATGGCTAAGATATATTACAACGAAACGACACAGAGAAGGATCAGTAAGGGAAAAAGACATATCAGGTATTGTCTGGAGAAATCCAGGTACAGGCTCCTCTGTTCTCCCTCCCAGGAAGGGCCCCACAGAACTGGCTGCTTCCTCCAGCAGGAACATATGGTAACGCATGGGCAATGTCTCTGCCCAGGGAAACCTTCTTGAGATCAGAGTACAAGGTTTTTATTGGGGGCTGCTCATGGAGGTATACTCTGCCTGCTTGGCCAGCCACAACTGCCAGCATTCCAGACTCTCAGAGGGAAAACACGTGTTCTCCATAAATCATGGTGTTTGTACAAACAATCTAGGCAGGCTGGAATGGTAGAATGCAGTGCCCCAGGTGGGCAAAGTTGCCTTATCAGTTAGTAACTTAGGGAACCTTCCAAGAGCCAAGTTCCCAGACGCTAGCCATGGGCCAGCGCCACGAGCAGGCCCTTCTGTATCAGCGCTGCTATGGTAACTCTTGCCTGCACAGAGCTGCTGTGAGAATTGAGTGACAGTGGTTGGCAAAGCTTTTAGCACAGCGTCTACCTCTTATGGCCTTCAAATGCCAGCTATTGTGCGTGATCTGATTAACTCTAAATACCAGTTAAAATTTATAGGGCCCCTACCATATGCCAGGCTCTGTTCTATTCAGTCTACTCATTTACTCATTTATTCCTCTCAATAACTCTGTGAGTAGGTATCATAATCATTCTCATTTTTAAGATGAGGTTAAGTAACTTGCTGAAGACAAGAGCTAGTAAATGGTAGATTCAAGATTCAAATCAAGGTGATCTGGCTCTTAATCACTAAAGAAGATTAGATGCTAATTCTAAGCTCCACTAGACTAGGAAAAGAATTCTCAACTTTTATTGCATCAGCTCACGCAGTCTGGCAGATGTTGCAACTATAAAAATTGTAGGCCTATAAAATATACAAGATTTCCTTTCTGCAAACAATGGCCAAGTGCCTTGAGATTTTTGTGTAACCTTTGCAAATGTGATGAACACATTTCTTTACTCTCATAAAATATCTCCTTCAACTGCTTTAGCTGCTATCCAGCTATCTTATCCTTAAATGGAGGGAGACAGAAACCAGATAATCACATGGGTAAATTGCTCACAGCTGC